ATGGATATAAAAACAAAACCCAAATATATGCTGTCTACAAGAAACCCACTTCAGACCTGAAGACACATATAGACTGAAAGTGAGAGGATGGAAAATATATTTCATGCAAATGTAAAACAAAACAAAGCTGGAGTAGAAATCCTTATATAAGACAAAGCAGTCCTTAAAGAATATTATAAGAGATAAGAAAGGACACTATAGATACATCAAGGGATCAATCCAAGAGGAAGACATAACAATTTTTAATATCTATTCACCCAACATAGGAATACCTCAATACGTAAGACAAACACAGACATAAAAGGAGAAACTGACAGTAACACAGTAAAGTGGGAGACTTTAACACTCAACTTACAAAATGGACAGATCAACAAAACAGAAAATTAATAAGGAAACACAAGTCTGAAATGATACATTAAACGAGATGGACCTCATTGATATCTTCAGGACATTCCATCCAAATGCAGAAGAATACACCTTTCTTCTCAAGTGCACATGGATCATTCTCCAGGAGAGACCACATCTTGGGTCACATATCAAACCTCAGTAAATTCAAGAAAACTGAAATCATATCAGTGTCTTCTCTGACCACAGTGCTATGAGACTGGATTTTAATTACAAGAAAAATACTGTAAAAAACACAAACACACGGAGGTTAAACATTTCTAAATAAGCAATATGTTACTAAAGAAATCAAAAGGGAAATCAAAACATTCATAGAAACAAATGACAATGAAAACATGACAACTCAAAACCTATAGGATGTAGCAGAAGTAGTTCTAAAAGCAAAGTTTATAGCAATACAATCCTACCTCAAGAAACAAAAACATCATATAGACAACCTAATGTTACACCTAAAACAACTGGAGCAAGAACAAAAAGAGAATCCCCCAAAAGTAGCAGAAGGAAAGAAATAATAAAGATCAGAGCAGAAGTAAATGAAAAAGAAATGAAAGAAACAATAGTAATAATAAAACTAAAGCTGGTTCTTTGAGAGGATAAACAAAGTTGACAAACCTTTAGCCAGACTCATCAAGAACAAAAGAGAGAAGAATCAAATCAACAAAATTCAAAATGAAAAAGGAGGTTACAACAGACAAGGCAGAAATACAAAGGACTGTAAGACACTATTATGAACAAACAAATGGCAATAAAATGGATAACCTGGAGGAAATGGACAGATTCTTAGAAAAGTTCAATCTTCCAAGAATGAACCAGAAAGAAAGAAATAATGAACAACCCAATTACAAGCACTGAAATAGAAACTGTGATAAAAAATCTCCCAAAAACCAAAAGCCCAAGACCAGACGGCCTCATAGGTGAACTCCAGCAAATGTTAGAGAAGAGCTAATGCCTATCCTCCCAAAACTCTTTCAAAAAATTCCAGAGGGAACACTTCCAAACTCACTCTTCGAGGCCACCATCACCCTGATACCAAAACCAGACAAAGACAATACACAAAAAAGAAATCTACAGGGCAATATCACTGATGAACATAGATGCAAAAATCCTCAACAAAATTTTAGCAAACAGAATTCAAGAACACATTAAAAAGCTCATACACCATGATCAAGTTGGGTTTATTCCAGGGATGCAAGGATTCTTCAATATATGCAAATCAATCAATATGATACACCATATTAACAAATTGAAAGATAAAAGCCATATGATCATTTCAATAGGTAGCAAAGAAAGTCTTTCAAGCAGAGAAAGTCTTTGACAAAATTCAGCACCCATTAATGATTAAAACTCTTCAAAAAAATGAGCACAGAAGGAATCTACCTCAATATATTAAAGGCTATATATGATAAGCCCACAGCAAACATGATTCTCAATGGTGAAAAACTGAAAGCATTCCCCGTAATATCAGGAACAAGAAAAGGGTGTCCACTCTCACCACTATTATTTGTATTTTTTAAGCCTTAGGTACAGCAATCAGAGAAGAAAAAGGAATAAAATAAATCCAGGTTGGAAAAGAAGTAAAGCTCTCACTGTTTGCAGATAGTATACACAGAAAACCCTAAAGATACTACCAGAAAATTACTCTAACTAAACAGTGCATTTAGCAAAGTTGCAGGAAAAAAAATCAATACAATAAAATCACTTGTATTTGTATATACTAATAATGAAAAATCAGAACAAGAAATAAAGGGATCAATCCCATTCACCATTATAACAAAAAAGAATAAAACATCTAGGAATAAACCTACCTAAGGAGACAAAAGAACTGTACACAGAAAACTATAAGACACGGATTAAAGAAATCAAAGATGACATAAACAGATGGAGAGATATTCTATGCTCCTGGATAAGCCAAATCAATATTGTGAAAATGACTATACTACCAAATGCAATATACAGATTCAATGTGATCCCTATCAAATTACCAATGGTATTTTTAACAGAACTAGAACAGAAAATTTCACAATTCATATGGAAACACAAAAGACCCCGAATAGCTAAAGCAGTCTTAGGAAAGAAAAATGGAACTAGAGGAATCCACATTCCTAACTTCAGATTATACTACAAAGCTACAGTCATCAAGACATATGGTATTGGCACCAAAACAGAAAGATAGACCAATGGAAGAAGACAGAAAGCCCAGAAAAAAACCCATGCATCTGTGGGTACTTTATTTTTGACAAAGGAGGCAAGAACATACAATGAGGCAAAAACAGCCTCTTCAATAAGTGGTGCTGGGAAAACTGGACAGCTACATGCAAAAGAATGAAATTAGAACACTTAATAATGGCATCCAGTCCCATCACTTCATGGCAAATAGATGGGGAAACAGTGGAGACAGTGGCTAACTTTATTTTTTGGGATCCAAAATCACTGCAGATGGTGACTGCAGCCATTAAATTAAAAGATGCTTACTCCTTGGAAGGAAAGTTATGACCAACTTAGACAGCATACTAAAAAGCAGAGACGTTACTTTGTCAACAAATGTCCATCTAGTCAAGGCTATGGTTTTTCCAGTAGTCATGTATGGATGTGAGAGTTGGACAGTGAAGAAAGCTGAAAGCCGAAAAATTGATGCTTTTGAAGTGTGGTGTTGGAGAAGACTCTTGAGAGTCCCTTGGACTGCAAGGAGATCCAACCAGTCCATCCTAAAGGAGATCAGTCCTGGGTGTTCATTGGAAGGACTGATGCTGAAGCTGAGACTCCAATACTTTGGCCACCTGATGCGAAGAGCTGACTCATTTGAAAGGACCCTGATGCAGAAAGATTGATGGCAGGAGGAGAAGGGGATGACAGAGGATGAGATGGTTGGATGGCATCACTGACTCAATGGATATGGGTTTGGGTAGACTTCAGGAGTTGGTGATGGGCAGGGAGGCCTGGCGTGCTGCGGTTCATGGGGTCACAAAGAGTCGGACACGACTGAGCAACTGAACTGAAGTGAACTAACACCACAGACAAAAATAAACACTAAATGGATTAAAGGCCTGAATGTAACACCAGAAACTATAAAACTCTTAGAGGAAAACATAGGCAGAACATTCGAGAACATAAGTCAAAGCAAGATTCTCTATGACCCACCTCCTAGAGTAATGGAAACAAAAACAAAAGTAAACAAGTGGGACCTGCTTAAACTTAAAAGCTTTTGTACAGGAAAGGAAACTATAAGCAAGGTGAAAAGACAAACTTCAGAATGTGAGAAAATAATAGCAAATGAAACAACTGACAAAAGATTAATTTCCAAAATATATAAGCAGCTCGTACAACTCAATACCAGAAAAACAAACAACCCAATCAAAACATAGGGAAAAGACCTAAACAGACATTTCTACAAAGAAGACACACCGATGTTAACAAACATATTAAAAGATTCTCAGTATCACTCATTTTTAGAGAAATGCAAATCAAAACTACAATGAGATATCACCTCACACAGGTCAGAATGGTCATCATCAAAAAGTCTAACGATAAATGCTGGAGAGGGTGTGGAGAAAAGGGAACCCTCTTGCACTGTTGATGTTAATGGAAAGTGACATAGCCACGATGGAAGATGGTAGGAAGAAGAAACTAGGACTAAAACCACCATGTGATTCAGCAATCCCACTCTTGGGCATGTACTTTGAGGAAACCAAAACTGAAAAAAAAAAAAAATCCATGTACTCCAATGTTCACTGCAGCACTATTTACAATAGTTAGAAGAACATGGAAACAACCTAGATGTTCATTGACAAAGGAATGGATAAAGAAGTTATGGTACATATACATAATGAAATATTACTCAGCCATATAAAGGAATGTATTTGAGTCAGTTGTAATGAGATGGATGAACCTAGAGCCTATTATACAGAGTGAGGTAAGTCAGAATGAGAAAGATAAATATTGTACACTAACACACATAAACAGAATCTAGAAAGATGGTACCAAAGAATTTATTTAGAGGGCAGCAAAGAAGAAACAGACATAGAGAATAGACTTATGGACATGGGGAGAGGGCTGTAGAGGGTGAGATGTAGGCGAGAGTAATATGGAAACTCACATTACCATATGTAATCCAGATAGCCAATGGGAATTTGCCGTATGTCTCACGGAAATCAAACAGGGTCTCTGCATCAACTAGAGGGGTGGGATGGCGAGGGAGATGGGAGTGAGGTTTAAGAGGAAGGGAACATATGTATACCTATGGCTGATTCAAGTTGATGTTTGACAGAAAATAATAAAATTCTGTAAAGCAATTATCTTTCAATTAAAAAATTAATTTTTAAAAAATGTATATTAAATTCTTCCTAAATCACAACCTCCAGATTTTATTAAAAAGAGAATAATTCTATGATCTGTATCCACATCAGTGGATACAGTTGGTATGATATTGTTCATAGCTATGTAACATGCTACCATGGCAGGGAAGGAGCGGAACTGATGTAGGGGTGCAAGAGATCTTCATGAACATTTCTTTGCAGCTTCCTGTGAATCGATAGTTATTTCAGATTAAAAATGTTAAAAAAAAAAAAAGTGGGGTGGATGGGTAAAATAACACTTACCTGAGCCACAATAGACAGAATTCCTACCATAGCTATGAAAGCTGCAATTTTAACAGATCCAAATCCTATGACCTGTGAAAATGAACACATATTACAATATAGACATTATATAAATAATAAGAAATGTTATGTTCCATTAAAGCTATAGAATAAAACAGTTGAGGAAAGTTCATGAAACCTTGACAATGGAAATTTAGGCAGTGCTGAAAGCTAAACCTACTTAACCAATAATTTATAGCTAAATCTGTCATGAGAAATCACTGTAAGCAGGCACAACTTAATATAACTAAGATTAGCTCCTAGTACAATATTTTCTATTACAGGTCTCCCTACTGTTTTCATATACTTTCCCCCCTACAATCCACCAAGAGCTATGTAACATTATCCACTACTAGGGAAAAAAATGAAAAGAAAAATTTGATTTTTGATGCTGTCAACATAGAATATGTTCACTTGGAAAGTTAAGTGGCTCTCAACTTTGACTGCACATTAAAATCATGTGGGCAACAGAGAAAGGGAGAGGGGAGAAAAAGAGATGCTGGAACTCACCTGATATCAATTAAATCAGACTCTCTGGGCCCAGACACAAGTATGTTTTAAAAAGTTCCCACGGTTATTCCAATGAGCAGCCAAAGTTAGTTAGCAATGATTTCTAAGCCTCTTAATCTTAAGAGTAGCTATGAAATGCCTGAAACATTTAACTTTTAAACATCAAGTTTTTAAAGTTAGTTTGCCATCTATTTAAACTACAAAATCCAGAAAAAAAACTTTAAAAACTATTGTAAATAATCTTCACACTTCATAAATGATTATCCTGCTTCAAATCACACAATTAGCTAATGAAAGAGAGCCAGAACTTCTGGTTCCCAAACCAGTGCTGCTGGCATTAACACTATTCTATTATTCTCCAATTAAATGCAATTTAAGAAATTGGAATCTATGGTGGTGGTGGTTTAGTTGCTAAGTCATGTTGACTTCTGTGACCCCATGGACTGTATGTAGCCCACCAGGCTCCTCTGTCCATGGGACTGCTCAGACAAGAATGCTAGAGTGGGTTGCCATTTCCTCCCCTAGAGGATCTTCCAGACTCAGGATGGAACCCACGTCTCCTGTACTGCAGAGTCCTTACTGTTGAGCCACCAGGGAAGCCCATATATGTATTTTTTAATTGAAGTGCAGTTGACTTACAGTGTTGTGTTAATTTGTGCTATATAGCAAAGTGACTCAGTTATACATGCTATACATTCCTTCTTATATTCTTTTCCCAGGACACTGAATATACAGTGTGCTGTATACACTGTGCTATACAGTAGGACTTTGTTGTCCATTCATTCTATATGTAAAAGTTTGTATCTACTAACCCCAAAAACCTAGCCCATCCCCCTTCTCTCCCCCAATAAATATATTTCTAAAACAGCTTTACTGAGGTAGAATTAAAAATGCCATACAATCCACCCATTACAAGTGCACAGTTCAATTCAATGGTTTTAGTATTGACATGGGTTTCCCTGGTGGCTCATATGGTAAAGAATCCGTCTGCAATGTGGGAGACCTGGGTTCGATCCCTGGGTTGGGAAGAACCCCTGGAGGAGAGCACAGCAACCCACTCCAGTATCCTTGCCTGGAGAATCCCCATGGACAGAGGAGGCCGCTGGGCTACAGTCCATGGGGTACCAAAGAGCTGGACACGACTGCGCAACTGAGCACAGTACAGTATTGATACAGAGTTGGGCGATTATTACCATGATCAACTTCAGAAGATCTCACCACTCTTCAAAGAAACATGGCACCCCATTAGGAGTCCCATTCCCACAACCCACCCCAGCACCCAGTCAGTGATCCACTTCCTGCCTCTCTGTATTTATTTATTCAGAGCATCTCATACAAAGGGAATCACACTGTACACGGTTCTGGCTTCTTTCACTTGGCATAACGTTTTCAGAGTTCACCAATGTTGTAGCATGCGTCGGTGCTTCATCGCTTTTTATTGTCAAAGAAAACTGTACATTGCATTGTACAGATGTACCATGTTTGTTGATCCATTTAATCAGCTAATAGGCAGATAAGCTGTTTCTACTTTGCTTCTACTTTTTTGGCTCTGTGAATAATAATTTGTGTCAAGAGTTTTTGTACAGATATGCGTTTTCAATTCTCTTGGCTATATACCTAGAAATAGATTTGCTGGGAACCCTATGTTGGCCACTTTTGAGGAACCACCAGGCTCTTTTCCACAGTAGCCCCATTTTACATTCCCACCAGCATGTATAGGGTTGCCATTTCTCCAAATCCTAGGTTGTTGTTTTGTTTTGTTTTATTACAGCTTTCTTAGCAGGTGTGTTTCATTTCCTTGATGGGTAATGATGTTAGCCATCCTCTCATATGCTTATTGGCCACCTGTATATTTTCCTTGAAGAAATATGTATTCAAAATCTTTTGCCTACTTTTTTAGTTGAGTTATATGTCTTTTTATTATTGAATAAAGTTTTAAATATATATTGGATAGAAGTTTCTTATAAAATAGATGATTTATAAGTAAACACAATTTAAACTAAAAATATATATGTGTATGTTAATTATATGTGAGTTTTAAAAAGTGAGCATAAATACAGAATAACAGAATTATTCTGATTTGTTTTAACTGTTGTTGTTGACAGTGATATAAGCATATGTATAGGAAAAATGGATAGAGAAGAAAATATTCACTATTGTTAACTATACATGTGAAGAAAGTAGACTTTACTTTCTTCCTTGGGCTTTCCTATTTTTCCTACATTATTTCCCACATTAAATGTACATTTAATAATGCATATGTAATTTTCTACATTTAACACCTGGGCTTCCCAGGGGCGCTAATAGTAAAGAATCCACCTGCCAGTGTGGGAGATGCAAGAGACATGGGTTTGATCCTTGGGTCAGGAAGATTCCCTGGAGTTAGGAAAAACCCCACTCCAGTATTCTTGCCTGGAAAATTCCATAGCACAGAGCCTGGCAGGTTACAGTCTGTGGGGCCACAAAGAGTTGGACACAACTGACTGAGTACATGTGCACACACACACACACACACATTAAACACAATATCTCTCTACTTTTCCCTCTAAATCTCCAGCATTCTCCAACCATAAATGAGTAAAACAAAAAAAGAACTGCTTGAAAAAAAAAGCTTTATTTAAATGTGCTACCATGTAAAATATTATAGTCTCATACTCTCAGGAAAACTATGAGTGGCAAACTTAACAAATTTTATTTGAAATATCTCTAAAAATAGAGGAATTTGTCTTAGGGGGAGGCTTGCTCTGACAAAGTGGAGTAAACCATTAGGAGAAAGACTTCCAGTGAAATCAGTGAAAGACCAAGGCAGGATTGCAATGAAAGGCAGTTCAGATCTCTGCACTCCCAGAGACCTGAAACTGCAGTTGGAAAAGCAAACGTTTTTCAATTGCCTTAAGTCAATTCCCTTTGGGGGGAAAGTATGAAGCATAAACTTTTAAAGGGAGAAAAATCAGAAGACAGAAAAGATTACTTTGGTCATTATTTGTGACCTACCTTGAAGTCCACAGTGGTGTTTTTTTGTTTTTAGTGGGGAGTGTGTGTGTTGCGGGGAGGAGGGGGTGGTTTGCAACATGTGGGATCTTACTTCCCCAACCAGGGACCGAACCTACATCATCTGCACTGGAAGCAAGGAATCTTAACCACTGGACTGCCAGTAAAGTCCCTACAGCGGCCTACTGTAGATGGCTAAGCAACCTGGATGTGATCAGACCCAGGGGTCACAGTACTTCTGAAATAAATTTTACCTCTCTGAAACTTAATGAGTATTATTAAAGATTTAATAAATTCTGTTTCTACTAATTCTTTCTGTGTAATTCTTATAATTATCAAGGAAATTTTTCCCACAGTAAACATTTCATTTTAAAAACTTACTGCACTAGAGGTCTCGTGACTACTGATTAAATGCCAGCAGCTACATTTACAATCAGAAGTCAGCTAGCACATTTTCTTCCTCTTACAGCGCTGTGTGCTCAGCTGCTCAGGCGTGTCTGACTCTGTGTGACCCCATGGACTGCAGCCCACCAGGCTCCTCTGTCCATGGGGATTCTCTAGGCATGAAAACTGGAGTGGGTTTCCATGCCCTCCTCAGGGGATCTTCCCAACCCAGGAATTGAACCGAGGTCTCCTGCATAGCAGGTGGATTCTTACCAGCTGAGCTACCCAGGGTTTTTCCATAAAACGCTTCAAGAAAGATCCCAATCTCTGATTTTCTGGCATTCCTTACTCACCTGCCTGAGATAGAGAAAAAAACTTGAATACTGTCCAGCTTCAGGAAGGTATGAAAGAAAAACAGTGATGCAGATTAATAAAATGGTAGAATCTTTTCCAACTTTCTTCAGTGACTAGAAATAAGCAGAAACAGAAACATAAAAAGCAAATAGATACTGATGTCACTGATATTCTGGGATATCAGCTTCACTGTTTTTTGATTTCTTAAGGTGGATAACAAAAGATGAATGGATTAAAAAAGGAAGTGAGCCTTAACATTAAATCTATTACCACCTCTCTAAGGACATTACAAGTCCTAATTTCAGAGGTACATATTTCAAATATTACAGTCTTTTCTTTATAAAAAACATTTTTGCTCATCTTTGTTAATAATACTGGTTCACATACTGAAACAGACCGTGAACATACTATGAATAGACTCTGAAAAATTTAAAAAAACACACTGCTCCAGAACCTTTTAAGAAAATTTCACCTCTTTTCACTCATAATACAACTCCTTTAAAGCCACAAACATTACAGGGTTTTCATTACACATAAATTTATTCATTAAAATGTTAATAATAAATTTGCCCACACAATTGGCAGAAAAATACATGTGCTCCAGGCATGGGGTCAGTGGCAAGATTCCCTGACTAGTGACAACGTTTTCAATAGTATACCTTTGTCCAAAATCCTTACACCCTTTCTACACAGGATGTCTGAGTAGACCAAAAGGTGCATCCATTGTCTCTCATGGTACCTGCATACTTCAGTTCAGTCACTCAGTTGTGTCCGACTCTTAAGAATTTCAGTTTTATATATTCTTTGGTGTACAGTTCACATCTGTCCCTTATTTGCAATTATATTTTTTCTATTTTTACTAGAGAAAAAATAAACCAGCAACTGCTGGGATTCATGAATCTGCAGAAATGTACATTTATTTGCATGGTTTAGAAAGATATTCAGGAAAGTGTTTTCATGCTTTTATTTACCGCAAAAGGGTCTGCTTGTTTCCAAGAAATCCGGGCTCCCCAGGAGAGAGGTCTCATTTTCTCGGGCAAAGATTCCGGAACAGCCAATAAGATGAAGCAGATGTCTAGAAGAGCTACCACGGTGGCTACTAGCACAACAAGGCTGTCTCCGTAACTGGCGGAAAGGTACGCTCCAATGGCTGGGCTGCTGACCAGACTGGCCGCAAAAGTGGCTGAGACCTATGGAGAAAGAACACTCTCACCCAGGGTTGCATCTCCAGCAGGTGCACACTGACATTCCTGTTTCCAACCAGGGACCCATAGGTGCATATCTAAAACCACCCTTCTCTAACTTTAAAAAGACAAAAGGACTGTATTGCACACAACTTTTAAGAATGAAAAGTAATTTTCTTTTAAGAATTTGCTCACAAGTTATTAACTAATTTGAATAACTTTTTAATTCTTGTAGCTTTCTAGAAGTTACTCTAGAAAGCTACACGAATAAAAAAATGATTTATTTATAAATAAAAATTGTAAAACCTTCCCCACAAATAAACCATACATATTTTAATCTTCTGTAATTAGGGAACAGGGATATATAGAGAAAGGAACAAAAAAGTTTTTGCAGGGTTGATAACAAAATCAACAAATTACTCAGAAACCAGGCTGGATTTCATCTTCCAAAACTGTGCACTGTTTCACCACTTCATTAGCACTAACTAGGGGTGGAAATCCCTGGCAGTCTTAGAAAAAGTTATATAACAACAACAACAAAAATCCAAAAAGATTTATTGAGGGAGACCTCAAAAGCTTTTTAATTAGAGAAAGCCCTGGGCTAGGAGTTTCTGTCATACTGTCACCCCCAACGTCCTAAAACCAAACACCACTGAGTCAACTGATCACACTTAGAACTTGGATCCATGTGACACTTCTTCACACTGCTTCCCTATAAGCATGTAGAAGGCTCTCTCTATTGTGAAATGTAGTCTGAATGTTCAGAAGCTTAAGTGAACAGCCTCCAAATTACAACCAGACTGAGTGTAAAAAGCACATTTATAAACTGTCATCTAAACTTCTAATGGATTTTAATAGGGACTATAGAAATCATTAACTATGACTGAAATTATGACTTGTGGGTAACCAATGATATACTTCCTTCATCCATAACCCCCAAGTGACTGTAAAAATACAATGTATTGGAAATTAGTATTATACCAAAATTATAAAAGCCAAAAGTTAAAAATTTCTGGGGGAAAAAAAGGAAGTACATAGAATTCCAATTTGAGGAATAGGAATTCCCTGGTTCAATAATTATTGAGTATTTATATGTGCTAGAAAAATAAGAAAACAGAGCTCCTGCCCTTAATTACATAGCATTCCAAGTGTAAAGAAGTAAAGATCATAGAGCATACAAATATCTCATTATTTGTCAAAAAGACATTTTAAATTCTATCATCATAATTCTATTCTGTATCTGTAAGGTAGCTTGCAAGTTTTTTTCCTTTTTCTTTTTTCAGGTTTGTCATCTCAACATCTAATACATAGAGTTAAATGTAAAGGTTAGTCCTTGGCCAAACCCTGAGTCCTATGATCCAGTCCAGGCAGCAGCCTTATGGCCTGGAGGACATACTTCAGCAGGGCGCTCCTCTAACTAACTTCTCTCAACATACCTCTGAACAGGCATTATTATAACTGGCATTTTACAGATGAAGAACTGAGCTAGAGATAGGGAAACTAAGTCATGATCACTTTGGTTCCATAACTCTCTGTCTCTGAAATCCTTCCTTAAATACTACAGCTTAGCACAACAGCTTTGTGAGGGATTTTTCTGATGAAGGCAAAAGAACAAAAATCTAATAAAACTGAAAAGGAATGAGTGTTTCCTGCAATGTTGAGAAAAGCTTCACAAGTGCAATAAATGAGGCTTCTGGCACGCCTCAACTCCGCTGACCAACCCTCAAAAGCCCACCTTGGACATCCTGCCTTCTTTGAAGCATTCCTATCTGTTTCTCCCTCTGTCCTTCTCCACAGCACTCAGGAGATGCCCCTGTTTTAGGACGTGACATGAGAAACATTCAGGGGAGGAGGGAAGAAGGAAGGAGAAGCAAGTAGTAGTTAGAGGGCAAGTGGCTTGGAGAAATTTTTAAACTACTGATGTCTAAAGTCAACAAACTAAAAATGACTGTGGTGTTTTGTGGAACAACAGTAACTGGCATATGTGTCCATCACTGATCCATACAATTATTCACTCAGTCAACACTGAATGACTGCTTACTGTCTTCCAGGAAGTGGAATTTAACAGAAAGAATAAGACCCAGGAGAGAAGTAACCTGAGTTTTTGGCATTCAGTCCCTGTCCAACCATTCAACAATCCAGTCAGGTTATCTTTCTTCTTCCATCTTCTTACTATAAACATTTCAAACACAGGAGAGTTGAAAGAACAAAATGTACACTAAAGGGGAGCAAAATAAGCTACCCTAAAATGTGCCACTTTGGCATGTGGATTGTTTCAAGCAGAAGGCAATTATGACCCAGGAGACTCAGGCAAAGCTTTTTACCTTTCCCAGAATAGCCTACTGCAGTCCATAGTGTCTAAGAGTCAGACACGACTGAGTGACTGAACTTAACCTAAAAGAACTTAGAAAGGAGGCCTATACCAAGAAATACTGGTAAATACTAAAGATAACTTTTTACATTAGATACTAAATACTAAAGGTAACTTTTTATATTAGAAAGATAATACTATGATAAAGATAGTAAGTACTAAAGATAACTTTTTATATTAGAAAGACTTATCTACATGTAATGGCAAACATTTGATTTTCTCTCCTCGTCTTCCTGTGAATTATCTTCCTTCCCTTTGAAGTCCCAGACCCCTACAGTCTTTCTCCTTAGCTCAGGATGGTATATAAGCCTCAACCACTGACAGTCCTTGAGTCTCTCACATCTTTGTCAGACTCCCACACATGAAATTAAATTTGTTTTTCTCCTATTAATCTGTCTGTACTTTTAGTTGTCAAGTCGTGTCTCACTCTTGCAACCCCATGGACTGTAGCCCACCGGGCTCCTCAGGATTGCCCAGGTAATAATACTGGACTGGGTTGCCATTTTCTTCTCCAGGTTCTCCCCAACTTTATGTCAATTTAATTATTTTGCTCACTCTTCCCTTGTGGCTCAGCTGGTAAAGAATTAGTCTGCAATGTGGGAGAACTGGGTTTGATCCCTGGGTGTGGGAAGATCCCCTGGAGAAGGGAAAGGTTACCCCACTCCAGTATTCTGGCCTGGAGAATTCAGTGGACTGTATAGTCCATGGGGTCACAAAGAGTTGGACATAACTTATCGACTTTCACTCCCTTAACTCAAAGAACCTAAAAGGGAAGAAGGGAAAACTTTCCCTGTTCATACCCACATACCCCAAGAGGTTCACACATTGAACACATGCCCACAAATGCTCACCTGTCACTTTTCCCCCTTGAACCACTTAAGTAATTCTCAGAGTTGTGATACTCTGACCTAAATGGCTTCAGACTGCCATCTTTTACAGGTCTTTCTTCTCCTACATAATCACAACGCCAGTATCTTGCCTAAGAAAATTAGAAGTGACTTTCTAATATTCAATTATCCCAAAAAGTTCTCCTATAACTTTTGTTATTGACTCAACAATTATTTCCTGAATGAATGTAGTCCTTTTTCTGTAGTGCTACATTTCAAATAAGTGTCTGAGTCACACAACCTGCAATACAGTGACAATGAATTAACATAACTGAGGTTCTATCACCTCTCCAATTCTAGTTAGGTGCACAGAGATCTATGATTGTAGCAACCGTTTACTGTTTATGCTTCCTCAAGAGATCAGCTAACAAGAAACAAATCAAACCAAATTTAAAAAAACTTTGCAAGTGACAACTCACATATCCTGCCAATCTTCCAACACTAAAACCAAAGGACAAATCAGTAGCAGTTTCTATCTTGCTATTTTTAGTTTCTCACAAGTCTCCTTTTTTATTTCAACTGTTTTGGGTTTTCTTTACGCAATTAACACTATTTTACTGAAAGCTCGCTTTCTAGTAAGCTTTTAGTGGGGTGCTCATTATCTGTCTGGTCAGAACATGGCCTGTCGTCTTACCCATCCATAGGCCGTACTTCGCTCATGTTCCTGAGTGACATCGGCTACGTAGGCAAAGATCACAGAGAACGTGACTGAGAACACTCCGGATACGGAAATCATTGCAAAATACCACCTACAGAAAGATCATTTTAAGCACTCATAAGAGAAGTAGTATACATACACTTCTATAATCAAAACCAAAGACATCATGTAAAGGCTATAACCCAAAATATAAATTGTAAAAATATATGTATATTTAAAGGTATAAAGGACAACCAATAAAATTATAATCAAGATGGAGAGGAAGTAGAAACATACCAATATTGTCATTGCTCAAGGGGTGTCAGTACATACAGTTAAAAAAAATGAAAAAGTAGGAATGTGCAGTAAAGTTAGTTTTAATGGTAGCCAGAACAGAAATGAAACCTTTTAAATTTATGAGTTTTAGCTGAGAAAAACACATATACACAAAAGCAGGAAGCATTTTAAAAATTAATAAGACAAAAAAATTTCTACCATATAAAATAGACACTTAACAAAAATCTAGTTAAAATATTAGCCAACAGAATCGCATAGAACAAAAAGTAGTGTTTTAATTCTAGGATGTAATGATGTTTCAATATTAGAAATCTATTAATATAATTAATCATGGTAATAGATTTAAGGAGAAAATTCAAATCATCTCCACTGATACTAATGGCATCAAAACTTGATATTCCCTTGATTTTAAAAAGGAAAATCTCTAAACAAAATAGGAACTAGTATTTTTCAACCCAAAAGCTAGTTTGATACTCAAGGATGAAACATAAAATTTCCTTCATATACATGAGGAAGATAGGTCCATAATCATCACTTTTATTGAACAATAATAAAAGATTTTTATTTTATGCATTAGTCAATACAAGCAACAGAAGCAGCAGCATGAAAACTGGAGAGAAGAGATAAAATCATTTTAAGATTATAAAGAAAACAACTGTAAGATATTGAGAGGACACTGAAAATACAAAAAACCTAATGCATCAGAAAAGCATGACTTGTTCTTGAACAGAAAAATTCAATACCAAAAAGTATTTTATAAAAATTTATCTGGTAGGAACCAAAATGATTCATTATAGGTACCCAACACATTTAGAACATGACAAATGCTGACATAAAATTCCTATCAGATAACCAAATGAGAGTATTCACATTGAGTATCCCCCAAATCTATCAATTGCATTTAAACCCTAAATGACTGAAACACAGAAGACCCTTTCATTCTAAACTGTGTTATTCACATAGGAATAGCATCTCAGCAACAGGAATTCTGGCCAAAATATCATTCTTTGGGCTCCAGAAAAACTAAGTTACAGCTCAGGTACAAATTTCAACACATTTTTATTAACTAAATAACCTTGGTTATTACATGCTAATTATTCTCTCCCCATTTATCATGAAAAAATAAGATCAAATTAAAATTCACATTATGATTTAGAATAGGCTACTGGTCAGAATACAGTACACACTAAAGTGACTACTGCCCCCTTTTAAAAAATTAATTTATTTTTGTCTGCACTGGGTCTTTGTTGCTGGATGCAGGCTTTCACGAGTTGTGGTGAGTGGGGGCTACTCTCCAGCTGTGGGGGGTGGGCTTCTCACTGCGGTGGCTTGTTGCGGGGCAGCAGCTCTAGGGCACGCAGGCTTCAGTAGTTGTAGCACACAGGCCTGCTTGCCCAGGGGCATGTGGAATCTTCCTGGGCCAGGGATGGAACTAACTTCCTGTGCACTGCCAGACAGAATTCCAACTGCACCATCAGGAAAAGCTGGACTCTTGACTTTTAATGCAAACTATGTTCATGGCAGTGCCCTAGAACAGGGTTCCTCACCCCCAGGCAGCAGACTGTGGCCTATTAGGAACTGGGCCACCCAGTGAGAGGTGAGCAAGAGAAGCTTCACTTCCTGTTCCCCATGGCTCCCCACTGCTCACATTACAACCAGAAACACACACCCACCCCTCCTTGTCTGTGAAAAAATTGTCTTCCGTGAAACTGGTCCCTGGTGCCAAAAAGCTTGGGGATCGCTGCATGAGCTGACAAAAACAACACATCTGCAAAGTCAAATGAGCCACAACTGAGTGAGTACAGAGACTGTCTGCCCCCTCCCAGGACTCACATCATGTAAGTTACCTCATGACAAAAACAACTGCCCTTAGAGACATCTTTTATTTCTATTTCTTCACCTAAGTAACTATCTTAGACTTAATTTCATGTCCTCATTTATAAAATGGGCATGATGGCAATTGCGTACTGGTTTTCAGAATTAGCAAAGAGTTCAAATGAAAATACAGGTACAATTGCTCTGCCAAGGTTGAAAAGTGCTCTGCAGATGTATTGTCCATATATGACCCCAAACAGACAGTCATGATGGAGGGCCCAGTCACTCACCATGGACTGATTCTCATCAGAGGAATTGGGAAGCAGGTGAAGAAGACAGTGCCAAGAAGAAAGGGCTTCCTTCCCCACACATCAGACAGTGCGCCTATGAGTGGGGCACTCAAAAAAGAGAGCAGACCCTGGAGAAGAAAGCAGAAGCAAGGGTCAAATGTATAATGTGATCCCCCAATTACTTATAATTTTCATTTTCCACATGAATTTCTAAATGCTATAATTCATTTTAGTGGCTCTGAAACAGAATAATTTGTAACATTAAAAACAATCTGTTTTTTAAAAAAATTCTAACAAAATATGTAAGTACGCTATTTGAGAGGGAAGGAAAGGATAAAAGCTTGTTTTCTGGCTGAAACTGGAAAAGTGAGGTGATATGAAATATATATACTCACAGATGGCCCTTAACGTGAACACCACCAAAAGTATGGGAAGAAGCCAGAAACTTAATTCATTTTATAAATACACACAACATATCTATTACATGCAAAGCTCTGAATTAAGTGGTGAAATGAAGACACTCAGATGAATACATACCTTCTGCCCTCAAAGGACTTGTAAGCTAATAGGGATAAACAGGATGAATGTGCATATACTAAATGTCCATAAAAGATGTAGATTCTATTTGTCTGATGAATTTAGGATAGAGATAATGAAAAGTTGCAGGCTAAAGGGAAGCAAGAGCACCACCATACATAAGCAAAGGAAGTAAAAAAACACATTTATCACTTCCTCACAATTTGCCAGTCACTCTGCTGGCTGACCACTTCCATATCAATTTCCCTTTTGATGTCAGGGCCCTTGACGCCACAGGCCTGCCTCTCAGATTCTGTTGGTGCCCCTGTCCTCCCTTTAGATGCTCTGCCTATATGCATGGCCACCATCACCTACATTATGAACAGCTTTCCAATCTCTCTTCTGAGTTCTGTGTCTACAGTCAAATGTGCTTTCCTACTTGGAGATTTAACATGAGCACTGTTCCCTATAAACCTGACCAAACACCTACACTTCCCATCTTGGCTAAGAAGCTGTCCAAAGCGTCCCCATCATTCCTTCACTCCCCAAGGTGATTTTTCAGACCATTCTCTTATAATGACTTCTCTCCATCTATCCGTTGCTGTGATGCATTTCAGCATTTCTTGCCTGGATTTAAATAAAATTATCTTCTAACTGTTCCCTGCCCCTGGTTCTACTTCTTTTCAATCTGTCTTCCACATAACCCCAAGAGATGAGCTGCAGACTTCAGTTTTTTGATACCTTGTTTAAAATCTCAACTGTGCAGAATTGAAATTCTTCAAGTGTATGAACTCTGCTTTTAAATACTAAAATTAAAAATGAGTGGTGGAAACCCAAGATAGATAAGAGCAGGGAGATGTTGATAAATAATGAAACTAGGTGATGAGTACATGGGTGTTTATTATCTTATTCTCTCCTTTTGTATATCTGAATTTTCATAATACATTAAAAAAAAAATTCTTCAGCACAGCATACAGATAGAACCCTCCAAAATCTAGTACCTAGCACACATCCTGGAGATGGAAATGGCAACCCACTCCAGTGTTCTTGCCTAGAGAATCCCAGGGACGGGGGAGCCCGGTGGGCTGCCGTCTTTGGGGTCGCACAGAGTCGGACACGACTGAAGCGACTTAGCAGCAACAGCAGCAGCAGCAGCACACATCCTATGCTTTGGCAATACGCAATACTTCTTAGTTTTCTGAACATACTACTACATGCCTTTGTGCAAATGGGCATTTGCAAGGCCCCTGCTGTGCCTGTAGGCATCTTCCACACTTGGCCCTGGTAAACTACTAGTCATTCTTTTCAACTTGGGGCCAGGAGTACCTCTGCCTCTATTTTCTTAGCTATTCAAATATAATTAATAATGCTGGTTTTTGAAGGGTGCAAAACAAATAACTCCTGTCCCCACCCTGGCACATATCTCTTCTATTGTAACTATAAAACTCTATTACAATTACTTGTTATTTGTCTATCTTTTTTATTAGATTAGAAATTGAGATTAAGGTCAGAGGAATGGTTTCATCTCATCTCTGTACCCTTGGTACCTACCACACAGTCTGATAATAAAGGCTTGCAAAGAGGTTTGGTAAGCTGAATAGAACTTTTATGAGGAAATCAACTCATGTTTCTAAGGCTGAGAAGAGAAAGAACAGGATTCTAATCCCCTATCAGCCACTAGTAAACCCAGAGACAATAGGCCAGGAGACAGGTAAACTGAAGCAAGGGGAGGTAAGACTAAGACTCAGTGGAGGGGAGGAAAACGGAGAAGAAAAGCATTTGACTCCTCTGAAATAAAATATTAATCTATGCCTCGGTATCCTTGGAAGAAATGCTATAACAAAACTAGACAGCATATTAAAAAGCAGAGACATTACTTTGCCAACAAAGAGCCTTACAGTCAAAGCTATGGTTTTCCCAGTAGTCATGTATGGATGTGAGAGATGGACCATAAAGGAAGGCTGAGTGCTGAAGAACTGATGCTTCTGACTGTGGTGCTGGAGGAGGCTCTTGAGAGTCCCTTGGACCACAAGGAGATCAACCCAATCAATCCTAAAGGAAAACAATTCTGAATATTCAATGGAAGAACTGAAGTTGAAGCTCCAATACTTTGGCCGCCTGATGGGAAGAGCTGACGCATTAGAAAAGACCCTGATACTGGGAAAGATTGAAGGCAGGAGAAGGGGACAACAGAGGACTAGATGGTTGAATGATATTACTGACTCAATGGACATGAGTTTGAGGCAGCTAGGGGAGATGGTGATGGACAGGGAAGCCTGGAGTGCTGCAGTCCATGGGATTGCAAAGAGTTGGACAAGACTGAGCGAATGAAGGAGGCATCAAACCCTGCAATTTATAAGTCACATTGGATTTCCAGCACTTGGTCTGTTTTTGCATCAAAAGAGTTAAATGATTTCTTTAACTAAGAGCTAAACAACTGCAGAAGCAGGGCTGAAATTCACGACTTGCAACATCAGTTTTATAAATTTAGAAAAGAAAACGTTTTACATTGCTTTAAAATTCTTTAAAAATATCAAACACCTGAGTTCTTGGGTAGTATAGAACTGGTCAAGAAAACCATGGAAATAAATTTAAGAGGACAAAAGAATAGAAATAAGAATCACCACAAAAACAGTAACAAAATCTAAACACAAAGAACCCTGGAAAAATTTTTGGGCAGTTCTGATTTTAGATTTCATACAGTAAGATATGGAATGCATGCCATTAAAACAAAGGACATGAGAAGGCCAAGAATTAAAGTTTTATTTAAAATAATGCAATTTTTTTTTAAAAAAAGATACTGTTATCTAGATTCTAGATTTAAATTGTAATTTAATCTATTCATTAAATAATTATTATTTTAAAATGATGCTCAGTGACAATTGCTGCTCAGTTGCTCAGTCATGTCTGACTCTGTGATCCCATGGACTGCAGTCCACCAGGCTCCCCTGTTTTACACCATCTCCCTGAGTTTGCTCAAACTCATGTCCATTGAAAAGATGATGCCATCCAACTATCTCGTCCTCCGTTGCTGCTTTCTCCTGACCTCAATCTTTCAATCATTAAATCATTAAAAGATCATTAAATAATTATTTTTTAAAAATAATCCTCAGTGACTATTGATACTGAAAATAATCCTCTGGGAGAACCCACATTTATTATGATGCTGAAATACAATCTAATAAAATACTTGCCTCTTTGGAAAGCTTGTATTTCTCAAAAATCAAAGACTTTCTTCCGTTTCAGAATTACTTCTTCACCACCCAATCCAGTCCTAGATCCTATTATGCCACATTATTAAAATAGTAGATTGAGAGGGATATCTGTACCTTGAGTAGGCAAGTACTGCAGCAGTCCTAAAGAGGAAGAGCACGATTTGAAAATGAGAAAATATTTAAAGATTAAAACCAGACTGGGACTTCCCTGGTGGTCCAGTGGTTAAGACACCATACTCCAAATGCAGGGGGCACAGGTTTGATCCCTGGTCTGGGAACTAAGATACCACATGCCACAAAGCCTGGGCAAAACAAAACAAAACAAAAAAAACCCCACTAAAGTGACATCAAAATCTTAGCTTTTAGCATAAATACAGTTAGCTCTCATTATCTACACTGGTTATGTTCTGTAAGTCTTCCAGGAACACTGAATTAAGAGAATCTGGAACTGCTGTTGTAGAGGAAACACAAGGTTGTATTCCTACCATTCTCTGGTCACATATTTTAATTAACTGATCAATATATAACCTTGGTTTATATATATTTCTCTTTAAAGATGACTTGTTTAATATGTAGACTGTTGATGTATTAACACTGAAGTCTCAGCCATCAGCACTATGACTCATGTCTGAATGAGGCTTATCTAACACAATATTTTCTCCATAATGGATATCAACACCCCCCTACACTTAGAAACACTTAACAAGTTGGCACTACACTTGAGGCCACTTTAAAGGGATAAAGAGTCAACAAAAGGAACAAAAATGCAAGATACATAACACTAAATGGACTGAAAAATGGACATGCTTACACTATGAGACCCAAAACAAAAAGAATGTCCTTTGTTCAACCTCAGCTGGAAACATGCAGTTGGGCCAACACGGATTGCCTCCTTATGCCATACATGAATGAATAGGAAAGCACTGTACTGACTTAGAGGTTGCAAATGAATTTAGTGAGTAGGCAGATTTTGCAAATATGAAATCTGGAAGTAACAAGGGCTGAATGTACTAAGCCAGGCTATCAGGGTCCAGTGACTACTGGATAAAACATGGGGTGCAGGAGTCCAGTGTGGACCAAGAATTAGTACGTCAGCTTTGTAAGTTAGCTTCCCAGTCCAGTAGATTTTTAAGGTGGCATAATTAACTGGTCAGTAATCCTTATGACTATAGAGTGGAAGTGAGAAACAGATTTAAGGGACTAGATCTGATAGAGTGTGTGATGAACTATGGATGGAGGTTCGTGACACTGTACAGGACACAGGAATCAAGACCATCCCCATGGAAAAGAAATGCAAAAAAGAAAAATGGCTGTCTGAGGAGGCCTTACAAATAGCTTTGAAAAGAAGAGAAGCAAAAAGCAAAGGAGAAAAGGAAAGATATTCCCATTTGAATGCA